TTGCACCGTTGTCAACTAAAACAAATGTATCAGCCAAATTTAAACGGCCTCAGTTTTTATGAGGCTTGTTTAACTAAGAACAGCAAGCCCTTCACTTGGAAGAGTTGCGAGAAGTCATGCGAGAGCAGCACGCGAAAGACTCACTCCTCGCGCCTTCTCTCGCAGCTTCCTTCGCTTGCCGTAAGTGCTGTAAGTGGACAGCTTGTTAGAAGGCTAAAGAACACCAATAATTAAAACAAAGAAAAACGATATCTTTTATATCTCTGAAGCTCATAAATTAAAGCAGTGTTTCTTGTAAAAACAAAATCTTCGTGTTTCGCTCGTATTACTTCTCTGTGCTTGGTCGAATTCTGAGTAAGATAACAATTTGGACTGTGAGTTTTTGTTTTCGGAGTAAAAACGACTCGAAGTAATCGTCTGAAATTCAGGTTACCTTAGAATCATTCATCGAATAATCATACATTTGACACATGCAATGCAGAGAAAAATTCACTGACTGTTTTCAAATGAAACGTTTGAAACAAAACGGTTGATAGATGGTCGTAACTTAAGTTGTAAAAGACTGTGTGCGCTCAATAGCAATCTTCAAAATCATTGTGTAATATACAAGTGTAAATAAAAACAGGTCACTATGAAAGTTATCACATATGCTTTATTTGGTAAAAAAAGTAGATTGCAAAACAGTCCGTATTTTTGCGTATTCAAGTACGCGCGAGCGGTCAAACAAAAGGTTTGGAACGAGGCTGAAAACAGAGAGCGAGACTGAGGAGAGAGGCTAAAAATACTAATAACTGCTAATAAATTTTTTCTCTCGCCTCACACGCCCTATGGGCATGTGAGGCTCTTAGGCCACGCTAACCTGAGATCAGGCCGAATTTTAGCGGTTCTCATACATTCTCTCTAACGGCTACCGAATGTAATTTTTAAAGCGAAACGAAAATACAGCCTGATCTCAGGTTAGCGCCAACCTTTACCGATTTCTTTACTGATTTTGAGAAAAAACCGACTGTTTTGCAGTCTAGTAAAAAAGGGTATAAAATAATAATAATAATAATAATAATAATAATAATAATAATAATAATAATAATAATAATAATAATAATAATAAGGAGTTCCGTTATTCTGACGTTTATGCAGTTATCGCTTTTCTCCACCGGAAAAGCGACGACCGGAAATACGTCAGTGTCCGCAGGCTATAGTTCTGTAGACTCTCCATTAATTGCACCGTACGACAATCGTCATTTACATTTGGGACAAAATCCTTGCGAAAATAGATCAATCCGCTGCACTAATGAAAAAGTAATTAAAGCTAGATATCAAGTCATCTAGCGCGAATTTTGGCTCCACAAAGACAGTTTAGCTCAGTTTTTACTGTCTTTAGTGTTTACTGAAGGGTAACAGAAGCAATGTCTTTCAAGAGTTTGACTAATAGTCGCGGGTCGCGGGTCGCGGGTCCAAAGTCGCGGTCGCGGGTCCAAAGTCGCGGTCGCGGGTCCAATGTCGCGGTCGCGGGTCCAAAGTCGCGGTCGCGGGTCCAATGTCGCGGCAGGGGAAAATGATTTGGGGTTCGAGGTAACAGCTGGGTGAAAACGACTGATATGAACACAATATAAAGGGAAAAAATCTTTTTTATGCACAATACTCTACGGTAGCCAATTTACAGCTTACGGATGTTAGAGTCAACAAAATAATGTCTCAAGAAAAGACCTAAAAGAAATAGCTGGCCGACTTTTGTGTTCAGCGCAAGTTTATTTTTTTTTTCTTTCTGTCGGGCCCAGTTATGTTTGAATATACTTATGCATAACAGTATCTGATAAAAAAAGTTACCATAAGTTACCATTGCTTTCTTGTTGTCGATGAATTGCTCACAAATGCTTAAGGGTTCAATTACTGAAAAATATGCGATACACTTCATAGACTACAGATTATAAACGTTACAACAACTTAAAGCCTTTTTTTTAAAAAAAGCGAACTCGGGCTCAAAAAGCTACGAGTCTGTCGGTAGAAGAAACGAGAACTCTTATATTTAACAAATGTTTTCGGCAAAACTGAAAGAAAATGTAAATAGGCGCATGAAACTTCATTCAAGACGGTATTCAAGGCATGATTTTTTAATATGGAAACAAGTAATAATCCACAGAAAGTAGTCTGTTCCTCGAAGCAAGATTTTCGCTTAATTATGCTCTTATTTTTACAACTGAGACGGCAACCCAGAGCGTTCAATATAACTTCTTGTTCTCTTCACCTAAATGACAACCAGGACAACCTGACAATAGGAAGCCATTCAATGTGCGTCTCAGTCAAATCTTGAAAACATGCATCGTAAATAACTAAGTGAGTAAGTAGGTAAGGAAATAATAACGCCCGATATCATGAAGCTGAAAAAGAATTCAAAGTAAACCAGACACTGAAAACGGTAAGTTATCAACTCCACCAGAGCTAAGAAAAGACAATCAATTAGGTAAGTAATTCCAGATTCCAGGTACTGGATTCAAGTCTTTGTCAGTAGAACCAAGAGACTATGATCTATTCTCTCTTAGTAGAACTTGGATTCCGGATTTCAATCGTTATTGGGAACAAAATCCTTTCTGTGGACAAGAGAGGATAAAGCTGGAGCTTTATCCCCTCTTGCTGTGGATTATTACTTGTTTTTTATTAAAGTCATGCCTTGAATACCCGCTTGAATGTACTTTACTGGCACTTCAAGCCCAACGTCTCTCCTCCTCTTTCCAGTTACTTGTGCAAAGAGTTTATATTGGGAGTTTGCGACTTTTACGCGGGTAATCTTTTAGAGGACGGGTAGCTTGCAAACTAAACTGAACGCAGGGTTGTCGGAACAGCAACAAGAAGATTTATTCCAAAGATGAACGTAGTTTCCACTGAGTAAAACTCCACAACAGCACGTAACTCGTTAAACTTACGTGGCCTCCGCCAACTTGAATAAAAACTGCCTTCGTCACACTTGACTAAACACGACCAACGTCAAACTCTCTTCGCTTGTGAAAACTAGTTAAAACTTAACTCGGGCTCGCCTACCTTATATACGTTTACAATAAGATTCCAGAACTTTCCAAATAGTATAATTATAGAAAGATTACAAAATATACCGCTTTTAGAAACGCTTACACAAGATCCTAAAATAAACAAATTATGAACTCTCGCGAAGCTTCTAGAAAGTCACATTAGTCACGCAATACAATTTTTAGTAACAGCGACCAGGAAGTTTTTCAACAAGCGTTTTCTTTATTTTTGCCGAAAACATTTGTTAAAATTGAAACAGTTCTCGTTTCTTCTACCGACAGACTCGTAGCTTTTCGAGCCCGAGTTAGCCTTTTTTAAAAAAGGTTTTAAGTTGTTGTAACCTTTATAGTCTATGAAGTGTATCGCACATTTTTCAGTGAATGCACCCCTAAGCATTTGTGAGCAATTCATAGACAAGAAGAAAACAATGGTTACTCATGGTAACATTTTTTATCAGATACTGTTATACATAAGTATATTCAAAGCTGAATTTACACTTAACTGGGCCCGACAGAAAGAAAACAAAATAAACTTGCGGTGAACACAAAAGTCGGCCAGCTTTTTCTTTTAGGTCTTTTCTTGAGACTTATATTGTTGACTCTAACATCCGTAACCTGTAAATTGGCTACCGTAGAGTATCGTGCACAAAAAAGGTTTTTTCCCTTCATATTGTTTTCATATCAGTCGTTTTCAAATCATTTTCCCCTGCCGCGACATTGGACCCGCGACCGCGACTTTGGACCCGCGACCGCGACATTGGACCCGCGACCGCGACATTGGAACCGCGACCGCGACATTGGACCCGCGACCCGCGACCCGCGACTATTAGTCAAACTCGTCTTTCAACTCAGAACAGCTGTAGAAAGTTGTTGACGCGAGCAAATTGTATCCCTTCAATTATTTATTTTCAAATACCCTGCTGATCCTCAGTAGAAAGAGTAGGAAAGTCATAACAAAGCCTCACATGGATAAAACATGAATTAAAGCTCATGTAATTATCACCACCTTCCATTCACCATGCACTGAAACTCAAGTTGGCACAGATCAAAAAAGGGAGTGTTTATTTTTGGAACATCTTTAAATTTAGATGTAACACGCTTCACACTGTCAACTGTGTGGGAGTTGAGTCCTTGTCTGAAGAGAGAGGGAATATCTTGAAAGGTAATTAGTTCAGTGTTACGGACATGACACGCTTTTACTCAGATCAACTTTAAGACTTTTATCAAACATTTTAAGATCATGAGCCGCAATCTGGCCTGTTACGCATTTAAATTTGTTTCTTTTGTTAAAACAGTGAAAAAAGATGAGAAGGGTTAACTTTTCCCTGACTTTTGTATGAAATATCCGCTCATGCATCGTTTGTGTTTCAAAAGATCCATTATTAATTGTCCCAAAAAATAAGAAATATTGTAAAGAGGACAAACCTGTATTGTGATTTACGAAAACGTATCCTCGTCATCATCATTGTTATTTTTAGAGTATTTTTAAGAATAAACATAATTTTTTTACAGAAGGAAAAAAAATAAAAAGATATTTGCCCGATTTTAATGATGATGACTTTTAGCTTAAGACTGATGATGCTTTTATAAACTACAGCCACTTTCATGATTTTCAAGAGGACCACCTTTATACTGTATCCTTCAACTTTTAAAAAGGAAGAACTAAGCCTTTGATTAACATGAATAATCACTTTCATGTATTTGACACCTGCAATGCTACGACAAACTCACTGACTGTAAAAAAGATATAAATTGAAATTCAAATCCAAACTTCACAAAACCCATACCACACGAGCAGTCGGTCGAGCAAAAAGTACGAAAGTAACGTTGGCTGATCAATACTCGTGCCATAGCTACAAACATATCTTCACCAAGGCAAGCCAAAGAGACAATATGAATTGAAGTGCAGTCTCACAGTCGAAGAGGATAGCTCTTACATGTGATCCAGCGATTCCGCATGGGTTTCTTGATGAAACTACCATGTGGGCTTATGGTTGGCTTATCTTCATTGCTGTCATCAGTATCATTACTTGTCCACTCACAGCTGTTATGAATGCATTGGTCATAATCGCTGTTAAGACTAAACACCGATTGAAAACCAAGTCAAACATTGCACTCGCCTGCTTGTCGACTACTGATTTGACAATGGGGGTAATAGGTCAACCAGCTTTTATCGCTTGGGTGATCGCACAACTGCAAGGAAACACCTCCAGTACGTATTGTATGAAGACAGTGTTATCAAGACTCGCCTTGAGGGTACTAGGTAGTTTAACACTTTCTCACTTAGCTATGGTCCACGTAGAGAGGTACATCGCCATCAAACATTCCCTGCAGTACGAAACGATCGTCACTGAGGATCGCCTTGTATGTTTTTCCGCACTTTTTTGGATTATACTGTTACCATTAATAGTACCTTTCTCTTTTCTTGGTGATAAAATAATTTCCATTATAGTTGATGTTATTATCATATCTTTATTCATAGCTACAGTTTTCGTCTGTCAAGTCGTACTTTACTACGAAACGAGTCGGCATAAAAAACAAATAGCTACTCAGCAAGTCTCTTCGGAAGCCAGAGAAAAATTCTTGAGGGAGAATAAAGCCTTAAAACTGACAGCAACGGTACTTTTCTGTTTAATATTGTGCTATTTACCTTTAGTAGAAGTAGTGGTAACGTTACCATCAAATTTTTTCAGAAATTCAGTTAATTTAGGATACACTGCTCTCTCTACCGGCCTCACGGCGGCTGTTTTTAACTCTGTGGCCAATCCATTTATTTATTGTGTAAGTATCAGACAGTTTCGCGTTGCGTTTATCCAGCTTGTCTTTAGAAAAAGCAACGCGGACGCTGAAAACATGGAAAAACGAGCTTTTGGAAGATTAAACCGCGTCGTGTTGCCGCATCAGGAAGGTTCCTAAGAATAGCAAAACAGTGCTCAAACTTACGAAGGTATTATTAGAGGTTGAATTTAATTTATTTTCTACAAAAATTGAAGCAAATCTGACACAGGCAACATACAAATAAATGATAAATTTGTTGCGTTCAGTGTAAGTAATTTCAGTTTTGCAAATAGATTTGATCGCTACTTAAGTTATAAAGAATTGGATGCGCGCTAGTAGTCTTCATGCAATGTATCAAAGCATCGTGTAACTGCATATAAATGTAAATAAAAACGGTTGAATACTAAATTTGTCTAATCTTCTTTACTGGGTAAAAAAGGGGCAGAAAATAATAGTAGGTGTTATTAGTGGTTACGGACAGGACACGCTGGCTGGTGCATCATATACATGATACATCGAGTATCATCCGGGCACGCTTTTACGTAACTTTATCACTCGAACAATATATATTTGCGTACAGTAAAGGTGAGCCGCTGAGGCTTGAAACTCTGACCCTGTTTAGGACAACACAAAATCCTACAATATATACCCTGTTTAGGGCAACACCCTCAATGTTCTTAAACAACACCAATTTCAGCACTGAAACGCACGTACCAACTCCGCGGTTTCCGCGGTATGGCCAGTACCTTATGCATGCGCACAACCATATCACCCCGGCAGTAGCAGCCACATTGTCGCAGAAGAGTTCTGGGTCGAGATTGCCATGGACAGCTGTTTCGTCCTCATTAGGTTTCATCAGAAGGTATATGACCCCGGCGTTGTATGCTTCTAGTTTTATAGATAAACACAGGTTACAGGCTTCGCTAATATTGATGTCCATTTTAAGTGGGAAAAAAAAGGAAAGGAAGACAAAACCTTGCGTTCCGAATTCAGTTCGATATTTTTACTATTTATATTTTCAAATAGGGGGGAGTCTTGTCGGGCGAGCATTGAGATCGACACAGGATCAGGCATCGGTTTTTGGGCATCGTCTAAAAGCGAAGTTCCTGTCGTGCAAAAGCGTTAATTACATACTAGGAATACTGTCAGGGGCACCCAACGACGGTTTCCTCCTGAATGCTTTGAAAACACCTTTTAGGCTATCCAGAGTGCTTTTAGATCTCTAGAAATGCATTCTAAGTGGCGCTAAAAAATTTAGATCTGTTCGGTCATCCTAGGGCAACTTGAGTCTTTTCGAAAATTACACTGAGAACTTTAACATTAATTTTCCGAAAATTTTAGGTGCAATTTAAAGTTTTACGAAAGTTATAGTTTTTCTTATTCGGCTCTGCATGGCATTTTTGATTCCAAAAATCTTAGGTTTCCTTTCTCTACGAGAAATAGCCTAACCTGGGGAGTGAAATGGGCAAAATTAAACTTCAGAAAATCGTAGGGAATCTTAGATAAGCTTCAAAAATTGTACATGAATGGAACGGTCATCTGGAAATTTTTAGCCTTCCTCAAGCTATAGAAAATTCTAGGTAAATTTTGCTTCTCCGCACAGAGATTGTAGAACAGTCGTTGGGTACCCCTGAACTGTGAGAGGTATAAGCTGTTACACGCATGTAGCAGCTGTTGGTCGGACTAAACGAATTACCTATTTATAATTATAGAATTGAGCAATGCATCTCAGCACCAGAGAAACTGTGCGTCCTTTTGGCAAACTAAAAGTGAAGTCTTTGCTACATTTCAGGAAAAATCGTCAAATGTTTAAAAAGCGATGTTACACGGCTAAAGTTACTGATGACTGCAATCGTGCGCGGGAAGTATTAATCTAGTCAAACCATGGCATTTTTTGAAAACACACAACCTATTTTAATAAAATCAAAAGTAGGGTCTTTTAGATTATAGTTTCTTATAATGTTTCGGTGCTTCTACAAATTTAAACAATCAGCAGCCCTGATCAAAGACCCAGTTTGCGACTAATGAATTAAAACCTGGATATCAATAATCGACGTTACTTAATAAATTTGTTATATCCATTATATCCAGTTTGAAATCACTGGTGATCCTTGTAATCTGATTGACTCTCAGCAGTGTGACTATTCAAGAATCACACTATTTTTTGCTCTCAATCACATCTGTTCCAAATCGCATCATTCATGTTCTAAATCGTATCATTTCTGTTTTAAATCGCACCATTTTTGCTCTATATCGCATCCTTTCTGTTTCGAATACAAAGTGAGATGTCAATGCCTTTTTGTTTCCGCTTTTCAACAAACTGGATAATTGATCAAAAAATATTGGTATTGACTGAATTCTGCGATTTCAAAATGGCTGTAATAAAGTGGTAATTGAACTTCGCGTCGTGTAATTTTGGTCTGAAGTCATACTCGTAATTTCAAATCGAACTAGCGCAAATCACGCGTATTATTTAAACCAAATTGCACTCCACTCAGTTCAATTACCATCATTTAAATACTTCATTTAATGCGCTGCCCGAGTTCACCGATGGATGCATGATTCTTAGCTTAAGATGCCCTTATTAACGGCTATAATGAATTTCAACTTTCATAATTTTTAACGACTACGGCGGCTTTTTTAGTTTTATTGTGTTCTTTATTAACATATGAAAGAAAAAAAAGGCCGTATGATCAAAGCAACCAAAAATCATTAACCAAATTATTATCGTATGGTTTTCATTTGATACCTGGAATACCCAGGCAAATTCACAAGAAAGCCTATATTAAGGCAAGATATGCCAGTTCAGCTTCAAATCCAAATTTAAACAACGTGGGTACGAAAGGATCATTAGGCTGTTAGCAGGCGCCCCTTTTTCCCGCAGTCCTTCGAGCGAAACGTGCGTGGTTGAAGTTGATAAAAGCGAACCGTCACAGATCGTCACACCATTAGATAGTCGTTCCATAGCTACAAACAGAATTCCATCAAACAAGAACAAAGACGAGATATGAATTCATCTGCGGTCTTAGACGCGGCGAGGATAGCTCTTGCATGTGATCCAATGATTCCGCAGGGAACACTCGATCAAAAAAATACCCCGGAAGCTTATGGTTGGCTTATCTTCATTGCCGTCATCAGTATCATTACTTGTCCACTCACAGCTGTTATGAATGCACTGATCATAATCGCTGTTAAGACTAAACACCGATTGAAAACCAAGTCTAATATTTCACTCGCCTGCTTGTCGACCACTGATTTGGCAATGGGAGTGATCGGTCAACCTCTTTTCATCTCTTGGGTGCTCGTAGAGTTCCAAGGCTACGCCTCCAAAACTTACTGTTTACGAAAAGAATTAGGGATTCTTGCTATATCAATGTCAGGTAATGCATCCCTATTTCACATTATCTTGGTGAATGCCGAGAAGTACATTGCCATTCGACATCCTCTGCAGTACGAAACCATGGTCACCGAAGCTCGTTTGATAGGTTCATCTGGTTTCTTGTGGATAACAGTACTATTCACACAGTTAATCATGCCCGCTGCTAACATAGATGATCAAACACACGCCCAAGTTGATGCTATTTTAGCTTTCTTAAGCATAGTCATTATTTCTTTCTGCCAAGTCATGATTTATCTCGAAACACGTCGTCAAAAGAAAAAGATCGCTGCCCAGCAAGTTTCGTTGGAGGCCAAAGAGAAATTCTTAAAACAAAGGAAAGCTTTAAAAGTGACTGTAACTGTCCTTTGTTTTCTAATATTATGTTTTTTACCGATTGCATTTTCACGAATACTGATGGCTAACTCTGTGGTCGATTCAGTCAATTTATTATACATTTTTCATTTTACAGGGGTCCTGGTGATAACGTTGAATTCGCTCGTTAACCCGATTATTTACTGTGTAAGAATTAGACAGTTTAGAGTTGTGTTAATTCAGCTACTATTTAAAAAAACCTTTGAACAGGCTGGAAACATTGAAGTGCGATTTTTCACAAGAGGAAACCGCGTAGTTCCGCAAAATTAAGAGTCTAGCGGGTGAAAGGAAGTGTATGAATCCATGAATCCTGCTGTTAAATAACAAAACTGATTTATTTTTCTATTTATTTATTTTTAGCTATTCATTTATTTTCTTGGAGTTGAATTGATGCGAACACAAGTTCTACCTTTTATAAAAATAGCTAATAGCGAGCATCATTGCCATGGTGCTGGTTGATGGTTGATGTCCAGTAAAAGTGAAACATGGCAAAAGGAAACTTCTATGTTGTGAAATGGAGTGACGATGCTCATTTTTCCGACTAAATGAATTTTGGATGATGCCAAACAGAGAAAAAATGGGGATGACCTTATGTAGAAGAAAACGAATATGAATCACCCCATCCACTTCATAACAAAAATCACCCAGAAACAACCTTTGGTTACATTAAAAACAATATACTTAGCATGTTCAAACTGAATAAAATACAAATCTAGGTTAGTTATTTGTAAACGTTTTTTAGAGCAGTTAACCTTGCTTTCTTGAGAAAAGTTTCATTCATTTCCAAGATGTAAACAAGTGTTTTGGTGCATAGAAACATTATTTACATGTCATCTGTATCACTTGATAACAGCAAGCAACATATTGGAAAAACTTAAGTGACTTTGCCAAATGCTGTGACTGTTGCTCCAACTCACATACAAAACTTCCAAATAAATCCTCATTAAATTCTGGTTTTACGTCAATTAACATCTGAACAATAGAAAGGGTGCTCTCTAACCATGAAAAAGGTACAACTTCATCGTCTGACTTGACTGAGAAAATCCACTGTATCAAATAAACTCTGGTGTCTTCATCGAGGCATTCTTTGATTTTTTTATTGATAAGATCCACTCGTGGAGTGTCCAAATTTGATTGCTGAGTTAAAATGACACCATCACAAAGTGCTTTTGAATGTTTCTTAGCAAACTGATTGACTGAAGCAAACAGGACTCTTGAGACATTTTGTTTAAGCTGTTAAATTTTAGGTAAGAGACAGTGAACAGCAAAAATAACTGAAGTGCTAAAGCTTGGTTCACTTGAAATAGAGACAAACTGTTGACACAGAGAAATTGCTGAAGATTCTTCCAGGTTTTTAAGATTTTACACTGAGCACAAATGTTTTAACTCCTCAGTGCTACCTGCTGAAAATACCTCAAGTTCATCATGAAAATTGAATTCATTAGTCTCTGAGTTCTGAAGTAAGTTTTTTAGAGCATTGACTTTTAGCTGAAGAGCATCACCTAGCTTTGCTTCAGCTGAAACATAATTTATTCTTCTCCGTGATCAAAAGCTCTGGAACATTGTCAGTGTTCTTCATGGTTAAATGTTCTGTATAAATTCCAGTCTTGGTGTCCAAGTTATCCACATAATTCTGTTCTAAGACGTCTTCATTTTCAAAGATAAGATGGTCTGGCGGGGGGATACTGTCAAATCTTTCATGACAATTGTTTCAGGTTCAAGTTTAACTTGTTGATTTTTGACAACTTGAATAACTTCAATATCACTATCTCCAGACAAATCAGAAGATCCTAAGTGAATTTGTGCAATAACTTAAAAGATGGTACATCTACTTTTCAATCACAAATATCTGTCAAATCAATCATTACATGTCAACATCATGTCAACATCATCTCCAGCACAACTTTTGACCGTTAGGGGAGATACTTGTTCCCTGGAAATACTCTTATCAATACTGTCACAAGTGTCTTTCACTTCATTTTCGCTAAGATTACTTAACCAAGGAATGTTCCCAGAAGATTGCGCGAGTTTGTTCTTGTTTATGTCAGGCCTTCAAATCTTGCCTCAGAGTCTGTAGTAATAAGATTAGTTTACAGACAAATGTTTCCTTTTTGCTATGATTCTTCACTACCTCTGCAGTCTCTACTGTCAGTTTCTTTGAAATTCTTTAACTTTGATTTTAAAATCTTCAAATGAGTCAGCCTCCAGCCAATGATCTCCGCCTCAAATTTTCGCAAGCTGTGAATTAACTTGTCCAATGAGTTCGCCGGTACAGAACAGCTGTGGTAAGAAATGAATGCTTGCATGTTACATTGGATGTTCAAAGGAAGAAAAAGTAGTTTTGGTTTAAAGAATAGTTGATCATTCAACACCAGAGGGAAATCCTCCATCCAGATAATCTTCCCGGCCCAACTTGGAGGAATGTCTGAAACGCTTTCAGTGGCATTTCTTTTCTGAAGCCAAAAAGACGCAGCTTAAACAGGAAGGTATTCGGAAGAGCTGAAAAGACTCCACGCCACTCTTTTGGAAATGATCGAACAAGTGCATCTAGAAGGCAAAGAGGGGGAAACTCAACGGGATTCTCCTTGTGTGTTGAACTGCAAGCTTCGTCCGCCATCTTGGTTTTCTGTAGCGAAGGAAGACTGAAACTAGCGTAGAATCGAGGCTCAATTCAGCTTCCTGTTCAACCAAGCTACTTCGCGGAATCGGAACTCTTTCTGCCCTATTTTGTAGCCTGAACAAAAATGTCTTCGCGAAGGTAATTAACCCAGTTTTCGTTAAACTTAGGAGTTACTAAGTCATTCCTTTAACATATATGCTTTTTGTTTTGGATTTTAGGTGGTTTCACTCGCATATTTCTGGTTATAATGCAGAGAAGTTGTTGTTAGAGAGAGGTTTCGATGGAAGCTATCTTGTTCGTCCAAGCGAGAGTAACCCTGGAGACTTTACTCTGTCAGTCAGGTAATTGCAACTAGATTATAAGGAAGACAACCATGGTCTAGGCAGAAAGGTTTAAAATCTACCTCCTCTTACAGATCGACAGATCTACCCGAGAAAACATTTATATTGGCGCGAACGTACATGTATACAACCAGAAGATTACTTTAAGAACGACCGATTCTAATTTATTTTAGAGTCTGCTACCTTAATCTTAATTAATAGTTATCCAACACCTCAGTTCCAACTTTGAATCACTGTATTTATAAATATTTCTTAAACAATAGAAAACTTTTTCCGTGTTTCCACGGCCTGATATTAACGCGTACGAAGGGGTGGAGGGCTGGAATGGTAAATGGAACGGGGGAATGGTGGAATGGTGGAACAGCGGAACGGCGGAAAATCAACCAAAACCCTAAAACGCGGAAAGGCGGAGATTCGATCCATAGCCTTAAAAGCGGGTGGCCAAAAAAAAATTGTAAAGAAAGGTGATATGAAAAAATGAGACATTGATTTAATTTGTTCTCCTTCTTGTTTGAAAATATTGCTGTACCAACCAACAGCGTCCAGAATCATCTGGCAGTTCCAAATTTGTTGATTTGTTAATGTGAATATGATCAAATGCAGGTTTGTGTAACTGTCTCGAATTCTCCCAACACCCTCTGGTGTTTACATCAGGCTATGCAAACACCAAAATGGTCTTCTATTGCCTAATTAATATTACAGACATTACTGAAGAACCAAACTTTGTTTTACACTTCCATTTCCAACCAGGACTGATAGAGTTCTTGTTCAGTACAGTAAAAACTCATGTGTAAGAACCTACATATTTTTGAAGTCTGTCAGAAAGGTTCTTGTATTTTGGGATAGTTTAAGTAGCAAATTACGCTAAGAAAGTTTTCATTCATTATGTATACGGCAGGGGGAAGGGCAGAGGATAATTTTTAAAGGAGCAAAAATTTTTCATATCCCTCCCACATCATACAGAATTTTTTGACATCCTCCCCTCATGACCAAAAGAAAAAATGAAAAAAAATGGTTAATTGTGATGATAATGATGGTGATGATGATGATGATGATAAAGAGACAATCTGTGACATTATTATTTAAAGCAGGAGAAAAGTAAAGGTGATAATGATAATGTAGATAAAACTTGTTACTGCACAAAGTAAAGGACATTAGAAAATCAGGAACTTCTCTTATGTAGTGGTTCATCAATAACATTACAATACTAAATCTTTCAATGGCATCTCCCCCTTCCTGCCTTCAGAAATTTTTACCATCCTTCCTTTTCCCGTCATAAAATTTTAAGATCCCCCCCAAAAATTCCCCCTTGGTATATATAATGAATACGGCCTAGGATACTGATAATTATTCATTCTCGTCCCAAGAGCCTGTCATTTCTTTTGGTCACGTGGTCTTGAAATGAGGGGCTCTGGAAGTAGCCGTTAAAAAATTTTCTTACTTCCGGTTGTGCATGTGTACAAGTTATAAATATCACTGCGCATGTTCCTAACAGATTTTTGACACTTACGGGGTCCACTGGGGGAGATATTTTACTTCCTGAGCTCTCCCCGGAGAGTTGCTACTTTAGGATGTTTTGAAAATTATATACAGACGACACTGATCAGCTTAGTTTGCTCAACTTGGATTCACTTATAATTTAGAGTTACAGTTTTACAACTTCAACTAGGGCCACCTGAGGACTTTCAGCCAATCAGAAGCCTCTCTTTTAACAAAGAACTGGGTATACGGACCTCATCGGGAAGTGTCCTATTTTCTATTGGTTAGTTTCGATCCTAAATGTTTTTGCCATCTAGAATGGTGTGTCGTATACACTTACCCATCTTTCTTGTGTGGCTGCCTTCTCTAAAATATACATATATATATAAAGAGTAGACACACTGAATTCTGCAAAGCTGATCGTACTACACGAAAACTAACTTTGCAAGACATCAACACGACACCGAAAGAACCAAAAACAGAGTGGGGTCGTAGCAGTAGACAGCTGCTTGCCCTTTTTTGGGGCTCGTCAGTACGGCGCAATGAACAGAGAGGCTCTGCCATAAAATTCCTGCACACTCTGTTATGAAGCCCTGACATGAACTCAGAGGGCAACCAACCTTAGAAACATGGGCAAAACCATGCAAAAATGAACAGCAGTTTAAATGTCAATTTATTATATATATAACTATGAATATTTTTTAGGGCAGCTCCAAATTAACCAAACAGGTGTCAAAAACCATTTGACACACTTCTGACATACAGTCGAACCTCCACTGACGGCCACCCCTATACAACGGCCACTTTCTTCTGTCCCCAAGGTGGCCGCTGTAGAGAGGGTCATCTGTATTTGGAAAAATTTGGTTGTTGGGTGCCTTGCCCCTGAATATCGTACACTTAATTGTTTTCTTATTTTATCTGCTGGTGTCTTTGTGTCAGAGTGATTGTGGAAAGACTACCGATTAAGAGGTCAATGTTATTTCTAAATCAAGCACCTTATCAGTAAATCACTTACTCAAAAGGCTTTTTTTACCCACCTCTTCAATTATCTTTGCTTAGTAGATTTGACTGTTGTTGCCACCCAACAAAGTTTTTGTCATCTTTTTGATATAATTTCTACTAAATACTTTTGCTAACTGTAATTGGTTTCATATGATACAGAACCAATCAAAATCCAAGATTTTCTGAAGGAGGAGTCATGCATTGCATTTAAACGAGCTGCCTTGGATAATTTATCAAAATTTAAACCGGCGGAACTACCACCAAACCGAGTGAAACGTAAAAATAATTGCTCAAAACATTACAAGACGATATGTGTAACACAGCAAATACAAAAAAGGGCATGAATGGACAAACTGAAGAAGGATTGAAACGGATTACAACTGTCGTTTTTGAAAATTTGTTTGCGTAAGAGTTTTTCAGAGTTCGTTTTGTTGTTTTTAGCGGAGCTCTCGCGCGCGAAGCGCGCAGCGGAGCGCCATGAATAAGAAAATGTGGTAATCTACCCATCCGAGAAAATTTGGTAATCACGTGACCGTACACCGACCGCCCGAGAGACCTTCCGTGCGTTGCACAGGCATACCAATGTAAAATAACTCAACCAACTGGTATGGCAATCCAAATGCAACTCGAGTTTATTTTGGCGCGAAATCGCATAGCCACCCGCGTCTTGTAAAACAGAAGCAGCTAAACAGTCAATAAAGACGAAAACGTAAAGCGGAAATTGTTTCTGTATCCTTGTTGTCTAAAGTATTAAGCTTAGATTAATTGTCATGTCCACAAATTTGGAACATAGAGCAAGAGAAAGACAGAGAAAAAGAGAGAGTAGGCGGCAGGCCAGCGAAACTCAACGAGAAAAAGGGCGACAGAGATCTAGAGTGAGAGAGAAAAAATAAAGGAGAAATTTTTTGTTGGAAGAACAACGTGAAAATTTTTTAGCGGTAGTGACAAAATGAGAAATGCTAGTGGCCACCAATGCAAGGAAAAAATCAGCGGCAGTGAAAAAAATGTGAATGAGAACGCGTACCACATTTCCTCCATAAAAAGGCTTCTGGAAGTTTCGCGTGGTAGTCATGGAAAACAACGGCAAAGAAATGTACGAAAAAAGTGTGCTGCTCTACTGTCGCAATTTGTAATAATCACCGCACTTTGTAATACCTGTCGCAATTTTTAATAAATTCATCGCACTTTGTAATAAAAAAGCTGACGCAATTTGTAATAACTGACCATCGCACTTTGTAATAAACTAAAATGTCGCAATTTGTTATAATTCCATCGCACTTTGTTATAAACTTAAATTATTTTCTTTAGTCAAACATGCATGTCTTCCGTTATAAATTTTTCTGCCTTAATTAATCACGTGACCAACGAGAATCACTTTTATGAAAGACATGAAACTTCCTGTGACATGTGACCAAAAAAAAGATATGAATCATTTCATATATTTGAATTCAAAAATATTTAAATAACAAAAGCAACATTTAACAACAGAAAATTCATGAATAACCTGGCGTTCGTCGTCTCAATCCATGTTTGCTTGCCACGTGACAGGTGAAGTCTTCGGGGTGGGAGGGGGGATAATCCCATATACATGTAAAGGCTAGGTAGGTAAGTGCCGCTGAGGATCTCGAACCTTAAATAGGGTATCATTTTTTACCTTGTTGGCTTTGTGTCTTTGGTTTGATCCTTAGATCGGGTAACTTATACAGTAATGGATGGTTTGGTTTATTATCCTTTGCATTTTGTGGAAAAAAAAAATAATCGTGAACACGCTCGGAAGAATTGCAAGGTCTTGTGAGCTGTACTCAGGGAAGGAGAATTTTTTACTATCCCCACGGTATTTGCTTTACAGGGCTCCATAGAAAAAAATTGTTTTCATTAAGATGGAACGATACTCCTTTTGTTCCTATATGAGACCAAATCAAGAGAGAATAATGGACCAAATGGTCAGCCGGCTCAGTGTATGACCTCAAGTGAGTTTTATAAAAACAGGTACATACAAAGGTATTGGCCAGCGACTAATTGGACATTACATTTTGAATTTTTACAGGCCTCGTCTGATTAAGTTGGCCAAAATATGGCAGCCACTATTGCTTCTTTTAAGATTTCGCGTTAGACAAGGACGGTTGTGTCGACCTGTTATAAGATCTTAAAAGGAAAGCTTTCCTGGTGTCCTTATTTGAATGATGTAAGGATGGATGTTACGATTTGTGAAAATTAAATGCCTTTTAATAATAGCTCGTTTGTGTCTAGATTCTGTACTCTGACAACGCTGTGTCTAGCGGCACATCCCCGCATTGGCCATATAAGGGAGTTCGCCCCCCCAGGTAACCATTGCATGCAAACCATCTAGTACAATAGCAAGGTTTAAGAATACAGAATTTCGTACGTCAGAAGTTGCGTGCTTGCCGACGTCATCATCTTAGTTTACAAAGTAGCATTCATATTTTGGCATTATATTTATAATGTTGACGAAGTAAGCTGAATCACTCCCAAAAAATTATTACAAAGTGCGATGGAATTATTACAAATTGCGACAGCTTAGTTTATTACAAAGTGCGAGGGACGGTTATTACAAATTGCAACAGCTTTTTTATTACAAAGTGCGATGAATTACAAATTGCGACAGGTATTACAAACTGCGATGATTATTATAAAATGTGACAGCACAGCTGCACGTGCAAAGTTTTTTTTGCTAATTAAACCTATTGTTGTTTTTCACCGTTCTCCGGCGTTGCCTTCGCTGCTTAGCATTACACGATTTTATATTTTGTTTCAGAAATTGTAAATGCCGAGACTAGGAATGCGATCGAAGAACTTGAACTACTTGCAAAATAGGACATCACGACTTTACCACATTTGACGCACGTATAAGAAATGTAAAATGTAAAAATGTAAATGTAAAAATAAAAAATGTTCTAACTTCTATTATAACATGTCTTATTTTGCAAGTAGTTCAAGTTATCTTGTTTGAACAAACTATAAATATTATCGAGAACTTTGCTTTTAGTCCCGGCTAAATCTACCAATACGGTATTAACGTTTGATTGAATGCTTGAGAGACATATTTGTCTAGCAGGAAGCTCTGTCATTCACGAGTAATTTCTCAAGTTCCATAGCGAATAAGGACATGGCATTATAAACAAAATGAATTAGTCACCTGTGACACAGCCTTTTAAATGATTTCAGTTCTACGACGTTGAAATTAAATTGCGTGACTTTTGAGATTTCGATTGGTTGCATGACATGGAGCCCATCAAAAATCTTAAAAAATTGTGAAGAACGTCCGGTGATGTCCTAAACTTGGTCGTGTGGCACATGTAGAGCAGTTTCCATTGTAAGAGATAACAGGGAAATATGCATGATGATGATGATAGTAGAAGTAAATTTCTGTAATGGTTTTTTTGCTTTCACTTGCAGACGAGGTGGTGAGGTCACGCACATAAAAATTCAAAACACAGGAGATTTTTATGACCTGTATGGGGGAGAGAAATTTGCTACTCTGTCAGAGCTGATACTGTTTTATACTGATAATCCTGAGAAATTGAGGGAAAAGAATGGTCAAGTTATTGAACTGAAATACGCATTGAATTCTACGGATCCCACCTCTGAAAGGTTAGTAGCAGGTTTGTTTTTTGGTTTTGGTTTTACTGAACAGCACTTACTGTCAGTTATTATCTGTCGGCATACACTTACCTGTTTAAACTCAAAACAGCAACTATTTTGTCTTTATTTTTATTTTAATAAGGATGTAACTTAAAGTTATCTTACACTTGTATAACTATTCCTACAAACTATAGTAAATGCCTAATAGGACTCAGTCCATAAATGTAATGAATACATAGGAGGCAATGAACGGTTACGTTAGAACGGAGGACTTGAAATCCGGAGGCCCCAAGTTCAAGTACCGAACTGGGCCGGGTTTTTCAAAGCTGGGTTAAGATAACCCAGGGTTAGTGCGAAATTTGAATTCAGATATGGAAGCTTTAAAAGTAAATTCAGTTTAATCCTTTTTAGACTGCGAGCAGTCTCTCTTTCTCCCATCTCGCGCCTTCAGTCACGCGCGTGGTCATTTGCGTGTCTTGGGCGTTTTGCTCGACAGACCAAGAAAAAAGAGAGACTACTCGTAGTCTAAATCCTTTTTGTCAACAAGTTGACGATTGGATGCTCTTAAAAATAACAGAGAAAATGATCCGAGAAAATGCTTTGAACAAAAGAAAAAAACCCAGGTTAAATTTAACCCTGGGTTAAGCGCTAATCGGCCTTCGATCAACTGGGTCCTGACCCCTAGCTGGATTAGTTCTCGGTAGTCCACAGGCAGCCCAAGCTCGGTGAATAAATTACCGCGAGTTTTGATACTGGTTTACATATTACGGACGACTGAAATTTGGTTTTATTATTGTATTTTAAAATTTTTGAATGATCTTGGTTAAACTTATCAGTGTCACTTTCGCCTTAGTTTTGAAATAAAGCCATTTTTCAACAGATGAATGTCTTCTTTTGCCTATCATTTAAAAAATGTATAACAAAACAATTATTGAATTCGGTTTTCGCATGATATCATGAATTATCAAAACCTCGTGTCTGTATTATCTGCCTCAGCCTTCGGCTTCGGCAGATAACACAGACCTCGGTTTTGATAATTCATGATATCATGCTCAACCTCATCCACTAATTGTTTAATATAGTTGTTATAACGTAGAAATAATGGCATAAATATGGAAATAAATTTTACCTACGTAAACTTGATCCTGTTATTGCTTTTTCTGTATAAGGTGGGCTATATTCATCGCCATTTTCTACGGTTTTGTGGCTAGTTGTTTGTTCGGTTTTGTTTTCCTACATACAGCGAAGCAAGAGAGTTTACTGTGTGCAGCCTAAACTCACAAATCTCTCCCGCGTCAAAGCACAGCGCAAAGATTCAGCAGATTAACACCACGAGTTGTACATAAAACCTGTTATTTGTTCCTACTGTGTGCAAGCTAGTGGTTGTACCCGGGGGGGGGGGGAAGGGACTGGGTACTCAACAAATGTTTATACGGGGAGGCTCCGCCACAAGGTCTAAACCCTTACCCTTTTATATACCATTTTTTAAAGAAAAAGGTACCCCTTTCGTATATCTTCTATTGACAAATGGTACCCCTTTCACTTACCTTGTTTAGAACTTTGTGTTCCTTTTAACTGCTGTAGATGCACTGTCTTTTAAATAGAAATCAGTCACAAAAATAGAACGTTTTCTCAACTTTATAAAGCCATAAAACTCATCTGTTAGCCCTTTTGGGCCCTTTTACAGACCCAAATGACAGATTTTCCTACCCTTTTATATACTTCAACTAGTGAAATCCCTAACCTTTCATATACCTGAAGCCTGAAGAAGATGCCCCTTTCGGTCGAAGCCTCCCCGTATAGGCCATCATAGGAAGTACCCCCTGGAGGTTGTACGTTTCTAACTTATCTTTATATTTTGCTGGCTAGATGGTTTCATGGAAACATGCCCAGTAAAGAGGCAGAGGTAATGATGCAGGACAAGGGCGAGGATGGATCTTTCCTGGTAAGAGAAAGCCAGAGCAAACCAGGAGACTTTGTTCTTACAGTCAGGTGAGCTTTTTAATGATTTTACCGTTGCCTTGTTTGTTTTGATCTTCATCATAGCGTCTTTTACTTTGATGTGCTATAAAGCACATGAAGTTTCCGAGTATATGTACAATGTAAAACAGATTAAATACTTTCTGTTGCAATTAGTTGCAGGTTCACCTATTTTCTGCCATTAAATAACTGAACTAAAAACTGTCTCTGAATAAAGACGAATAGGAAAGAATTTGGCACAAGCCTAAAACATTGGTTCTATAGGGTTCTTTGGAAAAATCAATCACGAACCATTGATTATGTTTTTCTCATGCTTTGAAGAATGAACTGTAATAGTGAAAAGCCATTTGTGCATCAGCAGGTGTTAATTTGTTGTCGTTATTTTGCATACATGTACACTTGGGATTCAATTCATATGATGCTGCCCTTTTTACTGATGTGGTTAACGTAGACTGTAAGGCCTAGGGCAAACGTCGAACTTTTCATGAGATGAACCAAACTTACTGTTAGTGAGTTAAGTTCATAAAAAGTTCGACGTCTGTCTCAGTTAAGTTCGTCTAAATGAGTTTGGATCGTCCAACGCGCTCAACACGTTCCATCCGTCTGCTTCAGACGGATTTAACGTCTGAAGATCGTCTCCGGGACAAACGACGATCTTCACATGCGACGAACTAAACTGATAAAATAAATTAAAAAATTGTATGGTAATGTATATTTAGCCTCGTTCGGAAGAAAATTTATTACTGATGTGATTCATGATCAGTTGATTGATTCGACGTGTCCTAAGTCCGACGTCTGATCCAACAGACTTAAATTAAGTCGACCGAAATTAGAGTTTGGTTCGTCTCATGAAAAGTTCGACATTTGGTCTAGGCCTAATAGTTAAATTTTTGTGCTGAAAATCACGTAAAAACCATTAGGCTATCATGTAAGTTCAGTCATGGAGCCTCATCTTTAATTACATGGTTAGTACAACCTGTAATACAACCTGTAAAAGTACAGGTAACTACTCGGGAGACGTAGGTGGAAGGTGAGAGGACCCCAAAAACTTTTTTGTTTTAATCAGCCAAAAATGTGAAATTTCCCCTACACTACTGGTAACGATCCCTTGCTGGGTATTAATACTAAAAAGCTGATTTAATTTCTGGGTGTGCAGGTTTGACTAAACCCTGAACCCTAACCCTAATACTAACAACTACAGTTGCACCCACAACTGTATCTACAAATTAAACCCACCACTGTTGTGACAACAGGAGTATGCATTAACATTTTTCCGTTGTTAACTAAATCAGATTAGAGGACAAAATTACTCATGTCATGATACGCCATTGCGTGGAAGATGGTAAATATGGTGTTGGTAGAGAGAAATTTGACGATCTGACTAATCTGGTGGAGCATTATAGGAAAAACCCCATGATGGAACAATCTGGCACTGTTGTGCAGCTTAAAACAGTAAGATGTATAAAGATGTTTCTCTTATAATAATCAGTGATAATTTAGCCTCTCCCCCATACCTGGAGAACAGTTTGTTTCTACCCGGCTGATTTTTTGCTTCCCCGGTCACTTTCTATCATGACTTCTACGAGACCAGTGTATTTCATTGTTCAAAATTGTTCAAAAGAAGCAAAACTAAAAAAAAATTACCATTGACAAAAACAAGGTCAGGTCATCAATCTCGCATAAAAAAGTATAAATCACCTGTTCTTCTCGCTCCCGGGGGGGTACTGCCATATATGGGCTATATAGGAATGTTTAATTATTTTTCCTGGGCAAACCTAGTGGAGATTTTAAAGTAATAATATTGATGATTAAGACGATGTACAAAAGGCAAGTTTAAATTTCGCCAGTGGGTTACTGGAAGGTGTTTGGCGTAAACTAGTACAGTTTGTGGTGTACTGTGTGTTAGTTGTCATGATGTCAACTAACATTGAAAAAAATTCAGCTGTTTCACAGGAGACGGGACATGTCTTGACAGCCTAATATGATTATTTCTGGCCGTAAGCTTGGCCAGTAGATCAAGAGCCCTTGAAATTCCTTTTCCAAAATAAAACTCCGGACTTAAGCTTAAAATATATATTGATCCAAGTGCATGATCAGCAGGCTCAGCAGTAAGAATGACGGCAAACAGGCCAAAAGGAAAAATAGTGTTGAAAAACAAAGACTAGACAGAAAAAAAAGCGGTACAAAGAAACAGAAAACAGCGTCGCCGGGAGCCGAACCCGGTTGATCTGCACGTGCAATCAACTCCTTGACCACTGCACCACAGTGACACACTTGATTTGAAAATTTAATTTTGTCATATCAAAACATTTTTTCTCTGCCATAGACGCTGTTTGAAGCTGGTGGAGCTGTATTTATCATGAATTCAAATATACATTTAAGGGGAAAATTAGCTTAAGCGCGTATTTCAAAGCTATTTGGCATTATTTGGGGTTGAACGGGCCGACTCGATGAAGATAATCGATCGAACAACCTTTCTGAATATGGTGGAGAATTAGGAGATCAACAGAGGCCTACACTCGAAAGGATTGATATGAAGTTAGGCCCGTAGAACTACCAAAAGAATAGATGAAATATAAACATGTGTGATCTGTGAATGGAACCTCCTATTCTGGAGACTGGACCTTGCCTATTTTAGAGAAAATAAGGATTTATGCTTTAATGACCTTGCCAGTCCCGTGAAATAGACGGCGATCCCGCATCACGGCCCGCAAAACAAATAAACAAAATTATACAATTACGGACACAAAATATAAAAACGGTTTACACAAGCAGATTATAGCAACACCAAAGCTCACATACATTCGATAAAATTAGCGATATATAGCGATATCTGCCAGCTTCTTAGCTTTTCCTCGAACTCGCTCGTCCTAATAACTGTCGTATCCCTTGCTAATTTGCACAAGCGACTCGAGGCTCTTGCCCGTTACTATGTGACGTCATACTGGCAGGCGGAGTGGCTCAAGAAACTTTGGTGGAAAACAATAGAGTTACCTTCCCTCCCCCCTGACTCAGCCTAAAAGCTACTCTAGGATAGGGGGATTTTTTGCAAGGGGACCTTTTTCATTCTTGTTCTTTCTGAACTGAATTTAATTAAAGATAAATTTGACGCGTTCGGAAGAAAGAAGTCAAACAAATGAGCAAGATATTGCGGTATCTTTTGAAGGAGCTCAGTATCAGCCGAACTGATATCAGTCTCCTTTGACCGCTCCTTGCCTGCAGAGAACGCAAATTTCAAGAGTCAACAAGCAGCCACCATTTTCAAATCAAATGATAATTTTGCAAAATGTTTGTATAAAAATATCGAGGGGTGAATAATATTAAAAGTTTTTGCAAAAGCGTTCTTTGGCTAAGGATATTAAAAGACACAAGCTTTCGAGCGCCTGAACTCCAGGCTTAAACGGCTGAGATGATGAAAGAATATAAAAAAAATAAAATATTGTGTGTTAGAACAACAATACAATAGAACAAAGTTATGGAAGAATAGATATATTGTCCTGGGATTAAAAGAGAGTTACCGTAAATGCGATTAAGCGCCAAGGTGCTTATTTCATTTTTCCCGTTATAGGTGAGGCGCTTATACGAGAGCGGCGCTTATTTCAACAATTATTATACACTGATATTTCCTTATTTAAACTATGCAGTCGTAGTGTGGGGAAATACTTATCCATTAAATTTAAAAAAGTCCTGTAGTAGTATAGGAGGGATGTTTTACTCCTCTTTTTTGGGGAGGATTCTGATTAAGGTGGGGAGGAATACATTAACACCAATGACGTCATAACCTTTTGTCTTGATCTCATGAATAAAATGCTGTGGTATCTCATTAACTTGCGGTGGAATCTCACTGTCTGAGGAGTAAAGTCAAACTTGTCTGTGACTTAAAATCACGGAGGCGTAATGTAATTATGCAAGTCCTATTTCCTGCTGCTGTGATTGTCCTAGTTCCGGTTCACTGACTTTTGGCGGGCAAATCGTGCATATTAATGAGGGCAAAGACAAACTAGCTCTTGTCCTATTTGCTGCTGCTGTGATTGTCCTAGTTCCGGTTCACTGACTTTTGGCGGGCAAATCGTGCATATTAATGAGGGCAAAGACAAACTAGCTATTTTTACACTGCGCACAATGTTTCAATTTTATTTCCCTCCTCAATTTTTTCTTTTTCCCTTCTGTACAATTTTATTATTTTCCCTCCTCGATGTTTTTATTCCCTCCTCCACAATTTTTTTATTATTTTCCTTCCTCAATGTTTTTTATTCCCCTCCACCACAATTTTAATATTTTCCCTCAATTTCATTATTTTCCCTCCTCAATGTTATTATTCCCTCCTCTAGAATTTTATTATTTTCCCTCCTCTTCCTCCCCCTCCTCCTCCTCCTCATTTTGATTGTTTTTCCTTTTCCTCCTCATTTTGATTGTTTTGATAGGGTCGATGTGGGGTCGATGTGGGGTCGATGTAGGGTCGATGTGGGGTCGATGTGGGATCGATGTGGGGTCGATGTGGGGTCGATGTCGATGTTGTTTTCCCCCCTCCTCCTCCACATTTTTATTGTTTTCTCTCCGCCACCACCGCCACCACCACCACCGCCACATTTCTACTGTTTCCCCTCCACCATCACCACCACCGTAACATTTCTATTGTTTTCCCTCCTCCTCCTCCTCCTCCTCATTTCTATTGTTTTCCCTCCAAGTTTGGCCTTCTAGGCCTTTTAGGCCTGATTTTGGCCTCTTTGGCCTTTCGAGGGAAAACAATAGAAATGAGGAGGAGGAGGAGGAGGGAAAACAATAGAAATGTTACGGTGGTGGTGGTGGTGGTGGAGGGGAAACAGTAGAAATGTTGCGGTGGTGGTGGTGGCGGTGGTGGCGGAGAGAAAACAATAAAAATGTGGAGGAGGAGGGGGGAAAACAATAACGATCCAACATCGACCCCACATCGACCCTACATCGACCCCACATCGACCCCACATCGACCCTATCAAAACAATCAAAATGAGGAGTTGGAGGAGGGAAAACAATAGAAGTGAGGAGGAGGAGGAGGGGGAGGAAGAGGAGGGAAAATAATAAAATTCTAGAGGAGGGAATAATAACATTGAGGAGGGAAAATAATGAAATTGAGGGAAAATATTAAAATTGTGGTGTAGGGGAATAAAAAACATTGAGGAAGGAAAATAATAAAAAAATTGTGGAGGAGGGAATAAAAACATTGAGGAGGGAAAATAATGAAATTGTACAGAAGGGAAAAAGAAAAAATTGAGGAGGGAAATAAAATTGAAACATTGTGCGCAGTGTAAAAATAGCTAGTTTGTCTTTGCCCTCATTAATATGCACGATTTGCCCGCCAAAAGTCAGTGAACCGGAACTAGGACAATCACAGCAGCAGCAAATAGGACAAGAGCTAGTTTGTCTTTGCCCTCATTAATATGCACGATTTGCCCGCCAAAAGTCAGTGAACCGGAACTAGGACAATCACAGCAGCAGGAAATAGGACTTGCATAATTACATTACGCCTCCGTGATTTTAAGTCACAGACAAGTTTGACTTTACTCCTTAGACAGTGAGATTCCACCGCAAGTTAATGAGATACCACAGCATTTTATTCATGAGATCAAGACAAAAGGTTATGACGTCATTGGTGTTAATGTATTCCTCCCCACCTTAATGAGAATCCTCCCCAAAAAAGGGGAGTAAAACATCCCTCCTATACTTCTTTCTGTTCTCTTCAAAACAAATGCATTCGATGTGTGTTTTTATAGTAGAGTCATCCAAAGTTTTGTATAAACTTCTTGATATTCTTAAATTTGATAACATTGTTGAACTGAGTACATCCATACTTGCACTTAAGATATTTAACAAGTCTTCCAGTATTCCTTCACTGTTTTATGATTCTCTCAGAGCAGCCCCCAACTTGCACAAGTATAACACCAGATACCCCTTTAAGGGCAATTTTTATCGACCAAAAGTAAGGGCAACACCGGCAAATTTACCTTTGCATATTTAGCCTCTAAATTAACGAGGAAACAGTACCAACAAACTTGAAACGGCTCTCTACTAACAGTTTTAAAAACGGCATAAAAATCATCTTCTCAAATGTCAGTCATAGTTTCTTTTCTTCTGAATTTCCAACTAAAATTTACTGTGTAATCATATCTATTATCGTTTTCTGGCTTATCTGAAAGTTGTAATTTTGAATGTAATATTTCCAATCCGTTTTCATGACGCTTCTTGCCTTATGAATTAGCTTAATCTTAATTATTATTTTTTTCCTTCGTTCCTTTCTTTACTTGTAAATAAGCAGCAGCCAATTTGAAAGCTTTGCTACTTTGGCTGTTGCACACTGATTCAAAAATTATCCATATAGTTTTTTTAATTTTAATTTCTATCATTTCGTTTTCTATAGTTTTTTGTATTCTCAGTTTTTTTCTTCTCCTTTGTACCTGAATAGTGTGAATAAAAAGATTGTTGTTGTTGTGAAGGGTAAAACACTGAGGGGAATATAGAGAGAATTAAGTGAGGCGCGTACTTGGTATGCACAATTTAGTATAAAATATGTATACCTCGAACTGTTATATGAACCTGGTTTCAAAAGTTTCCCTCCATTAAATCTTTGGAACTCACCAGTTGGTCGAGGTCAAGCGCCGTAACAAAGGTGGAGCGTTAATTTATGACTAACCAAATTTGCGCCGCGGCGTTTATTAAATTATTTCGGTAAAGGTGCGGCTTTTATTCGAGAGCGGCGCTTAATCGACCATTTACGGTCTGAATTAGGTGTGATCGTGGTGTGCCAGGATTCCAAGAACCTGTTGATTAGTTTGCGCTACATCTTGGCTCTCTATGGCGTGACCTTTGCCAGATAAGCCTCTGGTTTCGGCATCCTTCGTGCAGTCTTTTTTATTTAATTTTGTGCCTACTTTTTGAAATTAATCAGTTAATAAAGTCAGTTAATAGAGATGCGGTAACTGCCTTTGTCAATGACCAAAGCGTTGTTGACATGGACATGGACATGATTTGAACATATGATTTGGCCGTTGTTTTTGAATTCCTTATCCAGACGTAGTTAATCGATAAAAATCGTTATGGGAAATCAATCGACATCATCGATATTAATCGATTTAATCCGCCGATAAATATCGATTGATATCGGAAATCGATAGAAATCGAAGTCACAGAGAAAATAATTTATCAATTATTATCGATTAACAAAATCGATAACAATCGATTAAAAAATCATCGATTTCTATCGGAAAATCATCGACATCAACCGAACTTTTTTCTATATCGATTTCTATCGATCGATTGCGGAAATCGATATTCATCGATGATTGATATCGATTACTATCGATACATATCGATTATCGGTTTATCGACTAACTACGTCTGGATTCCTTATGTGTCCTTTTTCACTCGTAATAAATGATCTGCCGGTCTCACCGATATAACTCCGTGAACAATTGTCGCAAGGAATTTTGTAAGCAATGTCACGTTGTAAGGCTAATGGGGGTCGTGACTTTGGAACCTGGAATTTGTTCTTAATAGCTTATTAAGAACGGTGATTTCATACTTCTTAACACACCTTTGAAGTAGGGTAGACACGCGAAGAGTTGTGTGACATAGAGGGTTCACCAATCTTAAAAACATCATTCCAACTAACTCTTCGAGGAAAGGAACTGTGGAAGGTTGGGTTTTTTTTCGTCCGGACATCAAAAATAAATTTTGAAGGGTAGCCGTTGGATTGTAAGGCTGAGTAAACTTTATCTACACTTATTACGGAGATTATGGTATCGTAGTCATAATTAATTCTCATCAATGTGTTCTTAGCCGTTTAATGCAACAAGAATCAATGCATCAGCCATTGGGGACCGAGTTAAGGTGTTAGAAAAACAGACTCAGAATATACCTGGAAAGGCTGGATTTTATGAAGAGTTTGAGGTGAGAGAGTCAAACTACTTCCTGACAGAACTCTGAATTTTCACTTGTACTTTATTTGAGTTGCGTTATTAGCCCCACCCAAACCGTCTAAAATGGGTGTTTTTAAACTATCGCTAATGTCATCATATCACAAGGCTATAACATTACATCCTTATCTTTTATTTTTGTCGTATCCACCTTTCCAATGACGATAGAGACGTCAAATTGCATCTTATCGTTTGCACGGGCCACTCGACTAAAAACGTTGAAACGAGAGCGAGTGAAATAATAGCCTCCTGGGACAGTTTTCCCGACAGTCCGAAAACTGGAACGTTTCAAAAGCAAACCATCCAACCAGAAATTCTAGTAACAAGATTAAGTGCGAAAGAAATGTCACAACTGTGGATCCGCCTCGTAATGTTTTCTTAAACTCGGTTATAACTTTGAAAGGTTTGAACCCAGGAGTCATTTCAAAAGTAGGTTGAGTTTGATCGTGCGGGTGAACGTAGGCCTGAATAGGACTGTTGTTGTTGACAGTGACTGACGTTTCGACTGAACCTGTGCGGTAGTCATCTTCAGAGTCAAAGTGAGTTGTATCACGTCAGTTGATGGTATTATTTAACAATTAATGAATGAGGCTGAGTATTTTATGAAGAATTATGGAGATCTCGGAGGGTGTTATCCGCCTCGGTCTACGGCCTCGACGGATAACACCCTCCTCGATCTCCATAATTCTTGATATGATACGAAAGCCGAATTCAATAATTGTTTTATTATTGGATAAAAAACATTTCAAAAATAAGGCAGTCAAATTTGTTCTGACACTTTCTTAAGATTCTAAAACTTTGTGCGATGTCTTCAGGCTCCATATCATGCTGCTCTCTGAGGTGGTTTCCGATTGCCGATCCTTTGTGTTCTTCAATTCGTTGGTGTAGGTGTCGGCACGTGTAGCCGACATAACCTGCATCACACAGGCTACACTGGAAAGAATACACCACGCATTGTTGACTCACAAGAGGCGGCTTGTCTTCCTTGACCTTAATTTCATCTTTGATCTTCCTACTTGTGTAAACTGGGCTGATGTCTGCGTTGATCTTCCTACTCAGGTCAGCCAGCTGTTTACGTACTACGTTTGCTGATTTCTGGTCTTTGAAGGGTAACACGATTCTGATTGGGGCTTCTCTTTTATCAGCCACTTGGGTGTGTGAATCCTCGGACACTTTGGATTCAATGAATCCCAATCAGAATCGTGTTACCCTTCAAAGACCAGAAATCAGCAAACGTAGTACGTAAACAGCTGGCTGACCTGAGTAGGAAGATCAACGCAGACATCAGCCCAGTTTACACAAGTAGGAAGATCAAAGATGAAATTAAGGTCAAGGAAGACAAGCCGCCTCTTGTGAGTCAACAATGCGTGGTGTATTCTTTCCAGTGTAGCCTGTGTGATGCAGGTTATGTCGGCTACACGTGCCGACACCTACACCAACGAATTGAAGAACACAAAGGATCGGCAATCGGAAACCACCTCAGAGAGCAGCATGATATGGAGCCTGAAGACATCGCACAAAGTTTTAGAATCTTAAGAAAGTGTCAGAACAAATTTGACTGTTTTATTATTCATTCAAAATAATTCCTAGTTTAAAAACATGGCCAAAACATGCTTACCTCCATCGATCCATCGATGTTATGTTCATCTTCGATAGTGCACGTTTAGGTTTGTCCAGCTCCGCAAATATTCTCCAAATAGCAGATGTCGCTCTTCGAGTTGTCTTCTTGCTGTTCTTGCCATGTTTTTAGCTATTTTTTCGCCTAGTTCTTACTCTTGGAACGAGTGAAACGTCCGCTATTTTTTGTTTTCAGAACCAAAACAACTCAACCTCGTCCCCAGGTCTTCTCGGTTAACGGTGCCTTAACCTGCATTTTTGACGTCATTTCCTAAACACAAAATTCTTCCAAATTTGGTCATCAGTAACTGGTTATGGTGAATTATGCGTGTACTTTTAGCCAATCAGAATCGGGGAAATATTTTGAATGAATAATAAACTCTGGTTATTAATCTGATCGGGCAATTACGTCGCGATGTTATTGGTCGTCTGTTAGTTAAGCGGTGATGTTATTGGCTATGAAGACAGTGTGAAGACTGGTAATCAGTAATTGGTGCGTTTCGATCCGTCTATTGTCACAGTTAAACAGTCGTCTATTTTTAGTCAAATTGTCAGTTCTCCAGTCGTTCTCACGTAGTTAGTTTTGCTTGATCTCGTCAATAAGTCGTTTGTACGGCGCTGGTAGCTGTTTCCTACGATTCAGTGACTTTTGTTCTAAGTTAGTAAACCAACTTTCTAAAGTAAGTTGTTGATAGTAGTCTGAAGAATACGAATACATGTCGCCGGGTTCCAGTGAATTTGATGTTTCGTCTGTAAGTGGTGTTCAGTTTATCTTTTTGCCCGTACAGGTTCTTCAAAAACAAGAGTGTAAACATCTTTACAGCAGAAAAGAAGGTGAAAGACCTGAAAACAAAGCCAAGAACAGATTCATAAACATTTTGCCATGTAAGTCACGTGTTTGTTTGATGAGTTCCTCAGTCTTAAAGCAGCAGAACGTAAAAACGCCATCCCCAAGGAGAAAATTAAGGTAATTCCCTTGGAAAAGGATGTAGTATTCAATTTGTTTTTTTCAAAACTTGGCACAGTTAATCAATGTTGTGGAATACGCGCCGCTTTCTGACGTTAAGCCGAACTGACCTAACTCAATTTTTAAAATACACTATCCAATATTATTACATTTCACATTAACAAAGAAAGAACAACATTGAAAGTGGATGTGATCCTTGCAGTTAAATGAACAACCTAAGTGGGTTAAAAAGCAACCTGAAAAAATTCACTCTTGACAAGGAATCGAGCCCTGACCTTTGCTATGACTGCACGCAACGCTCTATCCAATTGAGCTAATCAAGCCAACTGGTTATCTTCTAACCGCATAGGTTGTTTATTTAACTATCAGGATCACATCCACTTTCGTATCTTTATGCGTAGTTCACAAATATAATTTCTTTCACAACAACATTGTCTGGGGAAGGAGGTCTGTTATTGTCAAGTGTAAAATGGATGTGTTTTGCATACGAAATTTATGGGATATAACGCTCAATTCAGGCAGAAAATACTTGATACAGTGTTTCTATACTAAAGAAATAACCGTATTACACAGTTATGCAACTTTTTAGCACTTTCAAAAGTAACCAAAATGTCAAGGAAAAATTTTTAACCCGGAGGCCTTCAATTTGCGGCTCTACCCTTGGGCAGTGTTGTGATTTCTGCTTTTGTTTTATTCTTCTTTCACTCAGTTGATCACAGTCGAGTTGTTTTGCTTGGTGGTGACCCATACGTTGTTGGATCAGATTACATCAATGCGAATTTTGTCGGGGTAAGCAACTGGTTGACTCTCGATTGTTATTCATCACGAGATTGTGTCATGAAAAAGTTGAATTTCTGAGCACTCTAAGAGTTCTTCTTTTCATGTAAGAGTCCCTTCTTGGCCATAATGTAATGTTGTAGGGCAATAGTTGGGATTCAGTTCTGAAGGTTATTGGCTCGAGCATTGGTTGTAACTGTTGTTTTGTTTTCTTTGAAAAGAGACTCTGTTTTGATCTGGAGAGGGGATACTCCATTAGTTTTCGGTGGGGAAAGACGAATGCTGCTGGGACTGTGGAGCCATTTATCTTATACCAGACTATGTTCAGCTTCATTATGCAACGCTATTGTACTTGCGGATAAAGAGGTGGTTCTCTCCTCCGCAGAGGCCCTTTTGTGTAGTAGGGAGGCTGGGGAGAAAGAAAAAGAGAGCGCGCGGGGCACGATGGGAAGGGAAAGACCGCTCCCGCCTTTTCCCTCTTCCCATCGTCCCCCGCGCGCTTCTATTTTTCGATTGTTGCTATTTTTATTGGGAAACCCAGCGGGAGCCTCTGCGGAGGAGAGAACAGGTGGATAAAGTACTATCCAGGGGGTAAATCTTAATGACAAAATCAATTGTTTTATGTGAATGTGATGGTCCAGAGAGTAGCTAGCCTCCCCGCAGACGTCCTTTGGGGTTCATTTGTCACGCATTCATTTCTAATGCGTGACAAACGAACCCCAAAGGACGTCTGCGGGGAGGCTAGTGAGTAGGAGGTTTTGTAAATGGTTAAGGTACATGCGGGTAACATAGTTTAACCCTGTTTCTGTGACTCAAAGGATCTAGGAGTATTTCTATTGTCCACTACACTTGTATACTAGAAGGGATTTTGCCGCTATCATGTCAACAGTGCCAACAAAAAGTATGGAGTGTAAAAATACAGTGTGGCAAACTCTGGTGGGAAACAGTAACATAGCTCTAACCATGTGATGTACTGCCACCCTTCCCAGGGAGACGTTAGGATCCTTCGTCATCGTCATCATCATCTTCTCTTAGCTACAAGTGTAATAAAAAGGGTTGCACGAAAATCAGGAAATGATTCTTGTTTTGTTTCATTTTCCTCATTTCGATGACTTTTATGTTTTAATAAGGATTTATCCCAGAAGGAACATTATGTGCTCAATTTGAATGCTTAACCCTTTAAGCCCTAAGAGTGATCAGCATGAAATTTCTCCTTATAATGTCAATGCTTTAGAAACCGAGTGGTCATGAGAATTGAGGACATGGTCAGGAAAGATGAATCTAATAGATACTTCAACAAATTGTCCACACTACTTCTCTTGAAAACGTATAGGGACAACAAATGAGAATTTGAATTTTGATATTAGGGTTAAAAGGGTCTAAAGGGTCAACTCACTTAAACGGCCTTGCAAGCCCTGCAAAAGTTAAAATAATATTGAACATAGAATACGTTATTGTTGACAGCAGCCTAGTGACAAGGAGGGATTGTCAACGCGATACATTGCAGCTCAAGGCTGCCTTCAAAGAACTGTGGAAGATTTCTGGAAAATGGTGTTTCAGGAGAACAGTCGGATCGTTGTCATGACAACGAAGGAAGTAGAGAGAGGAAGGGTGAGTGGTCTGAGCAGTGGCGGATCCAGGGGAGGGGCCCGGGGGGCCCGCCCCCTTATTTTTAGCCCAAACTGAGGCCCGAAGGGAGACTACCCCCCCCCCCATTATCTCAGGGTCTAAATGACCGCCCCCCTTATCTGAAGGTCTGGATCCGCCACTGCTGAGTGCATTGCAACGAAAGTGTTAACCTCTGACAATTAATGAATGAGGCTGAGTATCTTATGAAGAATTATGGAGATCGAGGAGGGTGTTATCCGTCGAGGCGGATAACACCCTCCGAGATCTCCATAATTCTTCATATGACACGAAAGCCGAATTTAATAATTGTTTTACTATTCATTCAAAATAATTCCTAGTTTAAAAACATAGCTAAAACCAGCTTACCTCCATCGATGTTAAGTTCATCTTCGATAGTGCACGTTTAGGGTTGTTCAGTTCGGCAAATACTCTCCAAATAGCAGTTGTCGCCCTTCGAGTAATCTTCTTGGTGTTCTTGTCATGTTTTTAGCTATCATTTCGCCTAGTTCTTACTCTTGAAACGAGTGAAATTTCCGCCATTTTTAATGTTCACAACCAAAATAACTCAACCTCGTCCTCAGGTCTTCTCGGTTAAAGATGCATTAACTTGCAAGGAAGCTGCACTTTTGACGTCATCGGTTGATTAATCGCAAAATTCTTCCAAGTTTGGTCATCAGTAGCTGGTTATGGTGAATTATGCGTGTGCTTTTAGCCAATCAGAATCAGGGAAATATTTTGAATGAATAATAAATAACGAATGTCGCCAAGGCTTAAGCAAAATTGGAAATGGTCAAAGAAACTTTCCTTCATTTTTTTTGTACACAGTTTGTATTTGAAATGAAACTACCCACTTTGGTATTTGTTTGACTTCTTACTCATGGAAGTTCTTTTTGACAAGGCTAAAAAGAAGACATTTTTGAACAAATTTGTTTCTCACTAGTACTCTAATTTTGATCCATATTGAACGAGGATGTGAGTATTTCACCGTTTGTTAATCATTTGATCCTTAAAAATCCAGAGGCACTCAATATACTGCGAAGAAAAAGTTATTGTTCGCAATTTTTGTTCGCCACTATCTTTCTTTTAAATGATATCATTAGGGCGATATTGAGCAAGACCGCTAGTTTTTCCTATAGATTGTTTTTCCAGTTAGATATCAAGCAGATTAACGATTATTACTCATCAAAACAGGCATCGTTTGGTAAACAGTTCTTCCAACGAATTCGCATACTTTTCCGACTTCGATCATTAAGATCATTTCTACCAAGGGCGTGATGAATACCAAGACGCAGTCTCAAAACTGAATTCATGCTGTGAAAAGCTAAAGATTGTGCTTTGGGATAGCCTATTCACAGACCCTCTATTTTCTCTTGAAAGTCCGTCGAGCACGCGAGAGAAAAAAAAAAAAAGAAGAAGGATTTATTGACCGCCAGCGCAAGGAGGTAGGGGTGGGGAAGAAGAATTCTTTCTTTCGCTCGCTCGCCTCGCTCGCGTGCTCGCCTCGCTTGTGCGCTCGCCGATGTTTTCCGAAAGATCAAAAAGAAAAATAAAACAACGTCTGGGTACAGGCTAACTTTGGGATCGTGTAAATCACGACTGTAAAGATATTAAAAACAGATACGTTAGATCACAGCGGTTACAGAAAGTGATTACTTTTTTGCGACTTAAGAAGACATATCTCAAAAAGCGGGCAACACAGTGAACTGGAATACACCAAACTGAATCAATTGTCTGTTGCATAAGCTGCTAAAATTACACAGCCTCCGCTAACAAAGACGCTATAGCAATGAGCAAATAACCTACCTATAGTACAATTTTTAAGCGTAAAATCTGCGAAAGAAATCTCCCTCTCAATAGAGCGAAATGTAAAAGGTTTTACAAAGGTTTCACGCCGATGAAGATGTGTGGTCTGTCGTCACAGTGACATCATTACCAAATTTCCTCTCCGCCAATGAGCATTTGCGTCTACTTTTTCGATGCAGAAATTCAAATTCCGGAGACATGACTGCAAGCTTTCTCTCCCCTTTTTTTCTCCCCCGCCTCCAGACTCCCCAAGAGAACTCTCCGCAGGCTATAAATTCACATTCTTATAAAATTCATTACGAGTATTCCAACTTGCTCAGTCAAGTAAGTTTTCACGGAGTTGAAGCGTTTGGTTTATAAGTAATTACAATACCCAATTTATACAAAATGGCCTTCCTGTTGACCAGAGTAGGGTTTTCTTAGGAGCAACTTTCATATTAAAGGTAAACTCCAAATCAACAGCTACACCAACCCATTCAATTGTGATTGTGCGACTGAGTACAATTTTGATGTCTCCATTTATGATGTTTAGAACAAGTGTATACGTTACTGGCCTGACCCTGACACCACTAAATATGTTGGTCCATTCCAAGTACGACACATGAAGGAGACCGAGTACACTGAATACACACTAAGAGAGTTTGAGTTGACGTCAATAGATGATGTAAGTGGCACGTCATTTATATGAAAGATATGCTACAAACCATTATAGTTCATAGTTTAGTCCGGCAAACTATGGTTATGTACATTTCAGCCAGGGTAAATAAGCACGTTACAAGAAGAGGACCGACTACTCTCTCTGCTACTTATCTTACTGATGCCTTTCAATCAGGTACTGTTGAAAATATACGTTTATACTGCAAGGCAAAGATTTTTCAGTCTGACTGAAGACTGAGAAGTTGGAGTCTAAAATGCACTGCTCATTGTGCGCGCATGAATTTAGTTTTAAGTTTGATACAAGTAGGGGCAACAAATAACGGATTTAATTTTCTAATGATCAGTTCACTAGTAGAATCTATGGGGGTGCACTTGACTTGGTTTGACTGTAATGTAACAGAACTGACTTGTAGCATGTCACGTTACAGCCTATACCTCGTACAATATATCAGTTCCATTACACTGGCTGGCCAGATCACGGTGTTCCAAAAGATCCAAGTACTGTATTACATATTGTTCATGAAGTGAACTCAAGACAACAGTCCATTCCAATGGCGGGGCCAATTATTGTTCATTGCAGGTATGTGTTAATGCCTCAGCATAGCTGCCAAATTCCCAGATTTCAGATCTGCGGATATTGGCATCTCTTGACTTCAAACACCCTCTGTAACTTAACCTTTTAGTCAGTCTGGACATCTTTAATGAAATGCAGTGCTTTATGAAGTCTGTCAGACCTTTGTGTAGCCTGCGAAAACATCCGTTTCTCCTCGCTCTTCGCCGCTGGGGACGTTACGTCCCCAGCGGCGAAGAGCGAGGAGAAACGGATGTTTTCGCAGGCTAACCTTTGTGATATGTTTTTGTTAGCTTTTTTGGACTTGACCGTGCGCAAGGTTCAGTAGCACTCCTATCATTTTCAACGAAACGTCTTCTCAATCAAGAGCCATAATGGCTCTTTTATGAATGTATTCATCCACAATGAGTGAATGAATAAGACTGCGCACAGTCAGGGAGTTCCATCATAACCTGAAGCACCGTTGTTGTCATGATTGATTTTTGCCGACCTTCATAAACAATCTCCTCCAGTAACTATGGTCCTAATGCACAAGAAAAAGTGATATTGATCCAGCGGTTTTACGTATGCGTAAAATTAGGAACTGTTAAACCTTAACTAACCAGACACCCATGGTCCCACTCAGTCGCCAGTGTCGATGTAAGAGAAGCGGCTCCTTACAGTATTTTCTCAGTTAAAAATTTATTGCCTTTGACGTTTATTTTAAACTTAGCCCATTAGCACTCGCCTCCAACCAAAGTGGCTCGGTTTCAAATCCCGGAAGCCATTATGTGGCCGGGGTTGAGTTTGTTGTTGGTTCTCGAGGGGTTTTTCCTCCGGTTATCCCCTTTACTAAAAACCACCGCTACGTGACTATTATATTTTGTTGTTCTTAACTCATAGTTTGTTTGCAAATGTTTTTATCTTCAAACTGAGAGGAAGTTTACAGAAGTCGCTTAAGATAACATTCAAAATGAGATGAAAAAATCTTAATTCATCCAATTTTTTTTGAACGAAAACACTTTGGAAAGAATGATTTGCACACGCCGTAGCTCACGCAGATGGTAGCAACACCAACACTCACCTCATTCCCTACTATCTGTTAACAAAGTCAAACGTGAAAATGAAGAAATGATCGTCGCAGTGAACGCAATTTATGCAATTGCGTAAAGAAGCCTGAAAAAAATTCAGCACCTCAACGGGGTTTGAACCCGTGACCTCGCGATGCCGGTGCGATGCTCTACCAACTGAGCTATGAAGCCACTGACGTTGGGAGCAGGTCAGTTGTTGGTTCATATGTTCCCGTGAAATAAATGAGTGTTAATGATATATGAAATAAATCATATATGAACAACGTCAGAGGCTTGATAGCTCAGTTGGTAGAGCATCGCACCGGTATCGCGAGGTCACGGGTTCAAACCCCGTTGAAGTCCTGAAATTTTTTCAGGCTTCTTTACGCAATTGCATAAATTGCGTTCACTGCGGCGATCATTTCTTCATTTTCATTTCATTTCGGCAGGTCATATATGATTTATTTCATATATCATTAAAAGTCAAAAGTGTCTCTCATTACATTACTTTATAGTCTGAATTTCATCCGATTACTTCGAGTCGTTTTTACTCCCTCAGTGAAAATAAAAATAGTCTCCTCATCGTTCCTACATAGTATAGTGGCCACTATACTATGTAGGAACGATGAGGAGACTATTTTTCCCAGTTTTTCCCGAAACTTCGTGTGCATATTAAGGAAAACAGCAACTCGAGGCATGGTAAGTTTCATCGATTTTTATGTCCATTTTTTAGCAAATTTCCAGACCTAAACTTCGCCCCATATGTTCTCTATATTTACTCATGTTATGTGAAACGCGTAAGTGACACAAATAGTGAGCCTGGGTTACCTGTGGTTATGCTTCCCCTAATTTCTGTGTCTTCGCCTATTCAAAAAACATGATATCGATGTCAGCATTAGCGATTTTCGATAAACTTTGAAAGTTCACAGTTCGCTTTTATACGTTTCTCGCCATACATACCTTTTTATGGAGGTGTAAACTAAAGCCATCAAAAATAGTAACTTAAAAAAACGTATATCAATCGATGTAACTCGAAACTTCACACACGACATACACGACTCGTATGTTACGAAAGGTGCTCTGAATAAGTACGCTGTAAATGTGAGTAGGAGTTACAGTGTAATATAAGGTAATAAGGTATTATATAAGCTAAATTATTAAGGTTGTTTTAAGGTTTAAGGCACGTTTCCCTCGTTTCCATCGTACAAACAATGAATTCGGCTCTCCCTTGGGTCGAAGCAAGGTAAGCCACGGACTTCAGGATTTGTTTCACGGTCGTCTCGCCAGAGTTAGAGGAAGATGATATGGGTGAATCGCTGGCTTGTTTTCCGGGTATTCCCGCAGCTGGCGTTTTCAAACTCCTCGATAACATTATTTTACGAACTTAATCATTGACCACTTGGGAAAATCATGCTTGTCGTCAAATGTGGTGACGGCCGATCAATACACGGATTAGTGTGGATAAACCTAACAGCTTTTTATTAGTCTACTCAAACAAGCGCGCCAGACTGCAATTGCTAAGATGTCGGCATTTTACACTTATTTTTGGGTGTTTATGCTTTAGCATTCCGCTTCTGATTAAATAATTTTCTTCGTGGGTTATTTATAACTTTCTTCTCTAGACCCGGGGTTTGCTCAGTGCCGGCCTGTAATTGTGAAAATATGGTTATGCAGTTTCGTTTTACAGAAAATATGATAACAAAACTTTGGGACCTAGTGTAACCTATATATTCAAAGCTCCAACTCGTTTAAAAAGAGCCATTGTCCTTAAAACTTTGACCCTAAAACAAGCAGCCCTCAGGGTCACTTATTCAAGGTCAAGTTAAAAGCACACTAGTGTAAGTGAGGGGAGAGATTGTTAATTTCAATTTACTTGTAGTTTTAAGCTTGTGTGATTTATTTTGTTATAAGTAAAGCAAAAAAAAACAAACCTTTACACTTTCTTCGAATTTTTACAAATTCTATACGGGCACATTTTTGTTTTCTGTTATTGTTCTCTACGCACAAGTCGAAACTGTCTTTTATTTTTTCAGTGCTGGAATAGGAAGAACTGGAACATTCATTGTAATAGATACACTGGTCAGAATAATCAAAGAGCAAGGTATTGTACTTCACAGCATTGCATGTCGAAGAAAAGAGAAAGACCCAGCATTCTGCATTCTGTCAGGATGACAAACATTGAATAACCCTGAGTTCTACTTTTCCTTGTTACTGCAGCTCTTGATTGTGAGATTGATATTTCAAAGACCATTCAGAGTTTAAGAGCACAGCGATCTGGTATGGTCCAAACTGAGGTAGGTTAGGGTCTGTAAAACAGTTCCTTTTGATATTTGTCTTGTATATGTGATATTGAATCAGAGGATGTAGCATTCACCAAATTCTTACTCCGAGTTTGCCGTTTGATTAACTGTACGTACACATGCTTACTGTATGCGTGCATCTTGTTCTGCAAACAGTTTTCATTCGAGTGGTCATACTGTTGTCCACAAACTCAAGAGTTTAACTTCCGGCACTGCTTCTCAACCTAAGCCACTCCGGGAGTGAGAGAGTTAATTGTTTTCTGTCCTCATTTTAGGCGCAGTATGAGTTTATCTACAAAGCTATTCAACATTATGTTAGCACAGAAACAGCAAGGTTAAACAGTGACAGTGTAAGTACAGTGAAACCAGCATTATGCACACCATGGTAGTGTCTGTTTAACATATGAGTCCACTAAATACAGGCTTGTATTTGTTGCCAGGCTCGGAACAAGTCCACAAAATCCAACAAAGTTTTACTCCATCTTACACGGTCAATCGATTACAATTGCTCGAACGACCTACGCTCGCGGGGCATTCCGTCATGTGTTCCTTTTACCTTCTTTTATTATTTATGGCCATATAGGAAACACTTGACATTTCATATATGAACCTAAGAAATGCCTCTTCATCACGAGTTCCTTGATACCTCAGAAGTTGGATCGCTCAAACGGTATTCTGAAACCACTGGGGTGGTTTAACGGTATAGTCCAAGCGAATTTACTGAATAAGTCTAACACCGTTAATATATATTTGAATCCTCTGTTCCGTTTTGAAAGTTTATCCATGAAAACGGGATCGGCACTCCATATTTCATCAACACCATTAGAAATGACTCATACGCTTAGATTTTCTTGTGATTAGTTTCTTGCAGTTTTATAACCACTACGCTGTACACACTCAGTTTGTTTCTTCGCTTTAACACAGTACCATATATATATATATATATATTACATAAATAAAAAAGCCCCCAGTATAATACTGAGGGCAAAATAATTATATAATAAACTGGATTAATCTGGATCAGTCACATCATCAATAAAATCAGATCCGTATTCATATAGATTATCAGTAGCATCAATACATTGTACCATTAGGTCTCAATTGTTCGGAATCAATCCTTCCTCGAATATTTCCACGCTCTTCTCGTAAGGTCATTAGATTAGTAACATGTTGCTAAACATTAACGCGACTGGCGTCTTTTAAAAACATTTTTGAAAAGATTAACCCTATATTTTTGAAGGATATTTGGCGTGGGTTTTCCGTGAAGAGACGAGACGTATGGGGCGATTTTTTTGGCGCACCTATGTTTAGTTTCGCAGTCAGGTGTTCGAGCCACCCCTTTTGTAGAAAATTGGGAATTTTTTTAAAATTTTTTTGAGGGTGTAAATGTAGGGATAATCGAGCCAGACTGGCTCATGTAAAAATAGTTGAACACCCCGGCGATCTTTTTTCGCGAGTTTTATCGTAATTTTTATAAAGCGCGGTTTTTTGGGCAGCTTATAAACAGAAGTGACGGACATAAACTGGTATTTTCGAGCAGCCCCATCGCTCAAACGTTGCACTAGATTTCGATCATAGGTGAATTTATGGCCACTTGGCTGGGATAAATCGCGCTGGAATCCCGACTGTTTACACGCACAATTTTGATGTGCAACCACAACCACTTTAGTCGCGTGATAAGCCCTACAATAAAATCACCCATGTGAACGGTCCATTAGTAAACACTTTACATTGTACTTTGTGCTGATCTGACTCTGTTTTCTCCTCAGGTCTGAGATGGACCTCCCTCTCCACTGGCTGCAAGAAATATGGCAAAAATATAATTTTAAAGAATCACACTGGGTACATACCAGAGAATTATTAGTTACTTTTTAGGTTAACACGGTGAAAAGTGAACGTTTCAGTCGTTGTGAACGTTTTTCAAGCATTTTTTTTTCTAAATAAGAGATCTCACTCGAATCTCACCTCCCTTACGTCCTACGTGACACAGGTGTAATCTAGGATTCCATTCGTTCATCCCTACAGTACCTAAAAAAAGTTTTCAGTGATCGTAGTGCCGATCGTCTGAGTACAACAATTAGTTATTACGACAACGATCGCCGAGATAGACTTCAAAAGGCTCATCACGTCGATCGCTGGATTCAATCGACTTTTAATTTTGGCCCATCTTTCTTGCAATAGGTGCATACCAAGAGATCATAATCTTGGTGCATACTTTTTACGCAGATATTTTAAGTTGCCTTCTTTGTAATGGATTCGACCGAATTTCCTACGGATTTTTCCCAGATTCAACGAGTTTTGAGGCAAGGTGACATGCTTTCATCTCAATTATTTATTCAATTATTTATTACTCTGCTTAGAGGTATTACCTATAAGTATACATAAGAATCGGGGGCCATACCCCGATTATGGCTCCTGGTAAGAATGGGAAAAAAAATCTTCAGTGTCAGATAATGATGACGTTGAATTCGGAATCTTTACGGATGATTTAACACGTTTTATGTGAAATGACAAATCCTTACACCTGACCTTTGTCATACCCATAATCATGTATCGTGCAGCTAGTTTAGATAGGAAGCTAACAAATAGACTTTTTTTCACAGCTTTGGTACTCCTCTTGTAATATACAATATAAATTTATAATATACCCCCCCCCCAAAGAAAAGAAGCAAAAACCCAAAAGGGGTAGGTGCAACGGGACTAAGGTCCCATGCAAGGTACCGCTCCTAAACTGCAGGTAGTCCGCCTTTTATCTTGAAATTCGTCCAGTTCTTGCGTGGAGTTACTTTTTGCAAAGAAAAATAAGAGACTGCTCGCAGTCTAGCTACGAACAATCTCACTTTTAGTAGACTACGAGTAGTCCCCCATTTTCCTCAGGGATAGGAGAGCGAGCGAAGCTCGAGCGTGTGTGAAAATCATCCCACGCGTAGTCTACACTTTTAACTTTATTTGAAATTATAAAGATAAACTGAAAAGATCTTGTCTCATCAGTGACATAGAATCGGCGGCTCAAGTCTTCGCTTTAATTTTGTGCTGTAAAGATAATTGCCAGTGGCGACTCAAACAGTTGGAAAGCCTATTTATCCCATTATTTCGAACCTGTTGGAGATAAATTCCTTCTATTGTGCGACTTTGGTTTGAGAAAATTACCATTCAGTCTTCCTAAATATTATAAGAAGTGTTTTGAATATTTTAGCGAGTGTCCGACAACCAGACAATCAAACTTGAGCCTTCCAAACAGTGAAAAATCGAAGTTAGTAACTTTTCATCATTTTCCAGGAAACTGATCAATTGGTTGAAGATTTTAGTCTAGGCCAGGAATGGACACTCGAAAACAAAATAAAATCGGAAAATCTTAATTCACCCGCAGCTCAGATTAATAGCAGAGAAAGTGTCGACCTAAGTAATTTCTGGAAAATAGCGACTCTAGGAAAGGGAGAGATTTTGGGAGTTCTCAGGTAAATTAAGGCATGGGTCAACAGCCATTTTCCTGTAAAAATGAGGAGGGTGGTCTATAATATGAATGGTTTATTATGAAGCAGAAAATACCAAAAAATACTACACAACACCAAAATTGATGCTTTAAAACAGACCAAATTTATGCAAATTAGGTCACGTGACCTTACAGCTCCTCAAAGTTTCAAAATATCTTTAAGAAAAAATGGGCACACTTTTTAGCAAGAGTTATCTTACTTTACTACCCTAAGAAGATACAAAATATAAGCCGCTACAAAACTGTGCTTGGCAACTTTCAAATATCTCATCTATTTTGAAAATAAACGGGTTTTTCGACTAGTACCCAGTCTCCCAATACAAATGTATCATTTTAACGTGCCTTTCCTTTGAAAACTCTTGACATTGCCAAGCGCAGAAATGACACACTTAACGGCCTTAAAATTATGAAACTAGTAGAAAAATGAAGGAAACAAGAAAAAGTGTGCCCATTTAAGTTGAAGGGTTTTTTTGGGCGTGGCGTGTCACGTGACCTTATTTGCATAATTGGAGCATACCAAATAGATAAAAACTAGCCTTTTATGTGTCTGACAAGTTTTCAGCTTGCCACTGCTAATGTATCGAAAGATAGACCACCCCCCTACTTTTTGACTTAACACCTGGGGACCCATGCCTTAATTACCTTGAGTTTACATAGTCAAGGGTAGCAAAATTCAGCAGAATTACAGATCTGGTATAGGGTAAGGGTTTCGGGTCCAAGCGGCACATCATTACTGAACCATTCCTAAAATACCTCCCCCGGGATTTAAGGACAATTTTCCAATGTTAAGAGACTGAAAAGCTGACGTTTGAGCACTAGCCCCTGGTCAGTTCAAATCAAAGAATTAATTTTGCATTTAAGTGGTCCAGGTCACTCACGCTATTTTGCTGTAGCTTTTTTAAAGAAAGCTAAATCGTGTCTTCGGATCATTTAATAATTTTAATTCACGGTTTTGGTATTAAAGGCTATATTTACGCATTGAAACTGTTTTTTGCTGTCTCTAAGCTACGGATAGCAAGGTAAAGACACTAAGTTATGTCTTCAGCACAAAATTGACCTAAGACAGCAATATCCTCTTGACGTAGCCCCTTTGTGTATACAAGAAATTTTGATTGTGAGAAAATCGTACGTCTAAGCCATTCATGTTAGCGGATGTGTGGGTCCAGAGGAGATGTGTTTGTCGTTAGAACATCAAAACCCGTCGAAAACATCTGAAAAAATGGGTTATTTCGATCGCGTTGACGATCGCGTTACAGTTTCGTTACACATTCTGTATACTGCAAACCAAGAGACTGAGGGCTCGCAAGATCGGCTTACAGTATGCCTCGGTCGCCCTTCGGGCGACGTGCCGTGCGCCAGCGAGGCTATGGCTTGCGGTTATTGATTTTCAAAATGGCGAACAAGAAAGTCGATCTGGGTCAGATAAGAAGCGAAGAAATCGTTTACAGTAGATTCATAAAGATCCCATTGGGCTAATTAATCGTGCTAAGCGACAAGTATAGACATTTTTCAAGGTGATACTTTAATTAATTAATTAAGTAATTTATTTATTTATTCACACGAAACTCCTCTGGACCCTGTGCAATCTGTGTTTAACTTGATATTGGACATCCACGTTATGGTCAATTGACAGCTGTCAAAATAGGTATCCGCTGACCGGTGTCGCATACTGTATCGCGGGCACAGGTGTACAACTGCTTGAGGTGACGTGTTTCCTAAGTTCTCCACTTTCTAATTATTGGTTTTAATTGCTTGCAGGCCCAGGTCCATTTTCTCAGGAGCATTTGCTTATGATGAGAGTTGAATAACTTCAGTAAGACACTTCCTAAAAGATCCTACGATAGCTTCGCTTTTGTCCTTGACTAAATCGATATATTATGACAAAATGTGTATAAATCCCTTCAAATGCATTTCTAGTGAAGTACAACGCTGGGCCTTATCTCTGCAAAAGCTGAATATTTAAAAAAAGATTTTCTTATTTTAAAACTTTACCATTCTCTTCCAGGTCTGTTTCTTGCCTTTCACGTTTCAGTATAGTGACAATTAACCTTCCTGCAGTAAATTATATTATCTTTAACAGAAAGAGCAAAAACAGTTGGTATCGCTGATTCCACATTCCCGATTCCATATTTTAGGCAAACCGGACACAAAATTCCCAAAATTTCAAAAGAAAATTTTAAGTAGATCTAACGACCAATACCCCATTGAGCAAATTTGGTTATAAATGACTCCTCAGCCCGCTCTTTTGCATGGCTATGGACTAATCCCTCGAAAATCTACTTATACCTTGCCCCCCATGTAACATCCCTCTAGGATAAATAGGAACCATAAGATCCGACGACGACAACGGCA